ACAATAGATCGAGAGAATTTTGACATCAGAGCACACGTCATTGCGCTGTAGCGCCGTGGTCCTAAGTGATGTCTGGCGGCCGAGGTTGGGAAATAAGGAGCATGCTCAAGTTGTGCTTGGGCAGCAGTCATAACCTTGACGCACGTGTGTGGGCCAGAATGTAAGGAGGTCAAGTGTCAGCAGGCCAGCGCGTCTGTTAGCGCTGACTGAGATAGTTGGCCTTTAGAAATGACGCCGCACACAACAATGGAGGGCGTCGGACGGCAGAGACCACCACACACAGGCCCTACCCTGAAAATTGTTCTGAATGAACAAAACCCGAACCTTCAATGGTCTTATTCCTATTTTGATATAGTTAACTTAAAAAATCGTGTTGAGTAAGCAGTTATAACTTCACCCCACACTTGCATTACTAGCGAGGTTAATCTAAAAATCGATAAAATAGACACCGATGTACATGCAGGAGTACGAGAGAAAGATTACACTCTGAAATGTGAGTTTAAATTTGCAGGAGTAACGTTCACTACTAGCTATAGTTTTTGGGCTTTAACTTCTGTGTAGGCAGTCGGCCATTAGGGCCGTTGAAATAAATTCGTGGCACACACCCATTCGTACATCGAAAACACTTCCTGACTTCGCACACTCCTCACAACACGCAACCAATCAGAAGCATATCAAGCAACAATCTCCGCACTCGGAACAATTATAAAAATCGTAGTCTAAATATTCGAAACTCGAGCCGAGTTAGTAGGAGTTATTTTGTAGCATTTTTTTACAATATTTGTCTTTCACATCGTCACGTTTTATCAGTACCATACAATATCATTGTACTGCGATTTCGCCTTCTTTGACAGGTGATCGATCCAACAATTATATTGATTGTTCCATTACAGAAAGGATTCCTCTTTTATAATCGTTCATAAATTACTTTAGTAGCAACATATACTCCGACAGCTTTATCTGGCTTTTATTGACTCAACTAATTCAACTATAGGACTATTTTATACTTTTACGTAAACAGGGAACCAAGCCCAATGACGGAAAATACAAATTAAAACACCCAGCACAATGTTACCGTTGCGGACAACTATGACTACTGCAACCCTTTTCCTGACTATCATCTTTATTATTTATACTGCTAGATACTTCAGTGAAGTCGCCTACAGGTCATCGGATTGAAAGATTTTCCTACTTGAGATGACCACCTCAGGAATTTCTGAGCTTTGTGTTAGACACTGGTCACACCAAAAAGAAGCTTCAAAGCCTTCAAAATTTGCATAACATTAATTGGCCGGAACGAAAGTATTTACTGTCTCCGGTGCGGGCTCCAGGTACCCGTGTTTGGCCCCTGGGCACTCATTTCAATCGTGAACAAATGCGTACACTTTGGAACCTGTTCGACATATTTTCAAATGTCATGGAGGAGCTTGGTTTCAGTGACAGGTGAATGATCCACGCTGGCACACTGCTTGGATCTTTTCGGCACCATGCCATCATTCCCTGGGACGATGACATTGATATTCTTATCGCCAAGAAGATCCGGCCGGCGCTGTGGTAAAAGACGCGTACTCTCTCGCCAAATTAAACAATCCAAGAATGTGCGAAGTGGGACAAGCTTTCGGCAAGAATAATTGTGCCCAACCATTCTTCGCTGGATGTTGAAGGCAGCCGCATCCTCAATACCTATGGTTGGGCCTGGCCAATTTGAGATATCGGCTACCATATTTCTGACGTCGGCTACATACATGAAATTGCACCGACAAATTGACGAAACTACAGCTACGCAAAGTCTGACGTTTTTCCACTGCTCTTCAGACCGTTTTACAAAACTTGGGTTCCAGCTCCGAAAAACACGTTTGCTTTTTTAAAACAACACTTCGGTATCAGCAGCAGGTGTTATTGTTTATCCTGGTCTCATGCCTGTGAGGTTCCATGTAGACGTCGATCAGTGCAGTGCGCCGACTTGGCAGAGAGCTATGCTTTCGTCGAACGCAGCTTACCCCCCCC